GCGACTCGTCAACGCCAGAGACGGCGCGCCAGGCCCGTCGGTTGGCACGTCTGCTCTTGCGCCCCCCGCCCAAGCCGCCACGACCCAACTGCCCAGCTCGTCGCGCGGGCCAATCAACCGCAACAGCACTCGACCGGGACGGGCCGGTCGTGCATGTGAGGCCGTAGGCCTACCAGGCATGTCGGACCTCAGCGTTGCTACGACACAATCGAGCCCGATGAAGTCGAGCCCCTCAGTGTCGATGACGGCCACGGCGGAAGCGAGGGAGCAACAGCTCTTCGCCCATATGGGCAAACCTCGACAGTCAAAGGCGATGGACACATATTTTTTTGACACGCCTTCCACCTACGAAGCCAAGATCCCCAAACCGACGGAGAAACTGGGGACGGAGGCTGCAATGAAACAGATGGCTGACGCGATCAAGGATGTGGTGAGTGCCCCGGTGCTATCGCTTGGCTTCGACCGCACGAGTATGACTGACCACTGTCTCCCGATCATTGATGCACCCGGGTGTAGACTGGTGATCGACGTCTGGTCGGATGCGGCAACTCGGGTAGCCCCATCAAGCTGGCGCCCGATCGCGGGGAGCAGGAGAACACGCCCGACGCCGTCATCCTCACGCATGCGGCGGTGGCCGCTGCCCCCGATCTTCCGTTCGTTTGGGCGCAGTCAGAGCACCCAACGTCGATGGAAGGCACGCCCTCGTCGCCTCAACGCGCATACTCGCAGATTGCAGTGGCGATTGAGGTGAAGAAGAGCGACAAGAGGAGCGCAGAAGCGCGTAACCAAGTGATCAGGCGGCTACACATGATCTGCACGACCGCGCTCCGCGCCCACGCGATCGGGGTCACCCTTTGCGGGGACGTGCTTCAAGTCTACCTCGTCAACGCGTGTGGGGTGTTCACGACGAGCGCCCGCGAGTGCGGTCAGGGAGCCGTGCTGCTCCGGCGCGTGCTGTCACACCTCATCGAACTCGACGACAACGAGCTCGGGATGCTGGCCTCGACGAACGAGGTCGACGACGGTTTCGGCAGTTTTGTCGTCTCGGACAAGTTTCTCCCACCCCGCGCCCACGACTTCGAGTCCGAGCTCGGCGATATCTCAGATCTCGAGATCCAGGAGCTCCTCTTCCGACGCCGAAGCTGCCTGGGTCGCGCCACCTCCGCTTTCCGCGTCACCGCGCGACACGCGCCTGTCGACCGCACGTCGATCACCTTGCCTACACCTGCCACCGAGTACGCCATGACAGTCGCATGGGTTGAGCAATCCCGCCTCGACGATGCGATTGCCCTACGTCGCAACATGCACGCTGCGTCGCGTATCGACACCGAGGGTTTAAGCCTTAGCGCCGGCATCTACCGGGACGACTTCCGCACGCTTCCAACTTTCCTTGGTGATGATGAAAGCTTCGATGATATCGGGCCCCGGGCACTGGAGGTGGTCTTCCACCGACAATGTTATCGGCCCCTGAACACGGCGACCACGACCAGGGAACTCGCCCAGGCCGTACTTGGAGTCGTCAAAGGTGAGCACAGGGATCAACTGGGCGGCGTTGCGTTTGCGCTCCCTAGCCGACACGCCCCTTCCCACGACATTGCAGGACACCGAAACCTCTACAGGCTGGGGTACATCCACCGGGATATCTCGTACGGTAACGCCGTCATCGACCGCGACGGTGTCGGCGCCCTCATCGATTATCACCTCGCCGTCCCGCATGATCGACTTTGCACCGAGCTGCACCACAGAATACGATCCGTGCGTCCTCCCCTCTGTATGTTCCCCCAAATGAACTTTCTGACCAGCACTAACCTTTGGACTATACGACGTCTTACAGGGCACCTGGCCCTACCTCGCCTGCTCGATCCTCGCCCAACCGAATGAGCGGCTCGGTGTTGTCCACGAACGATGGCACGACATCGAGTCGCTTTTCTACGTCGTGATGGAAGTTTCGTTCCGCGAGCCTTACCAGGGCAACAATGAAGAGCTTGTCATGACGCCAAAGGGTGAAACCATCTGGCGGCGCTGGAACAGCCCAGAGGCGGACCTAGTCTATACCCTCAAAGTTGTGCTTCGCATGGATCCGGCATACCGATCTGTACTCCAAGGCTGCGCACATCGATGGACAAACATCCGCCTACTCCTTGACATCTTGAGACGCAATTGTGGCCTCGATAGCCGGTTCCTTGGTCTCGAGGTGGCGAAGGAAGAAGCCCAACTGGGGGAGTTGTGGGGTCCATCCAAGGCGATGTCGCACGAGTCCATCATCTCGGACATTGAGCAGCTGCTTCCCTTGCTCTGAAGTGACCACCTTTGCGCTGGGCCTAAATATGGTTGCTCGTTGTTAGTACCGATCATTGCAATAGATACCCCAGGTCAATTTCCGTCCGTTCCAGTATAATTCCAGGCTGGAAATAGGACTGCGCCAGCGGTGCCTTCATTCGGCTCGACTGCGCAGAGTTTCTGGCCCAAGCCGTAATCTGGGAGGGCCCTTACATCATTCACGTTTTGCTCATAGGAGTGTTGTTTTTGGAAATATATCAGGTTTGTTGTCCTGTCCCATGTATCAAAACGCGTGGCGTTGAACCAACGAAATGAAACCCATAGCCCCGCTCCAAAATCCTGTCAGTCCAAAACGTCCATGCCGCCCGAGGCTTACGACGGCGCTGTGACGGCGCTGTGGCCCATCTCCTTGCCGTTCTCGACCGCTTTGACCAAATCGGCTGGCTCAAGTCACCAAGTCACCATTCAATCACGAGCGAGATCCCCCGACTTGTCTCATGGTTGCCAGCGATCCGAACCTCACCACTGCTGTTCCCCTGCCGGTGTTGGGCGAGCGTGTCGATGTCATCGTTCGTTTGGCGCTGAGCCTCATGCTTGCAGCCCGACCGCCCCCCGACGGTCTGTTCACTATCGCCGTCCCCATGCTCCTCGATGCGCTCATTCGACAGCGCACCGACCACGACGCTCTTGATTCGTACCTCTATCGAGCGCTGTCGGTTACGATGGGCGTCACGCACAAGGGCACTAAACCAAGCAGCTTCTCGCAAGCGATCGCGCACACCGTCCATGTCCTTTGTACGGCCGAGTACTATCTCTGCCGCTTGGAGTGAGCCGCTTTCCCTTGTGTCCTTACGCCACGCATTCGTTCTCCACAACTCACCTTTCTTTGTGTGGTGCATTGGTTTCCCGATTCAGAACGACGCTCTTTGAAGCGGCCTGCCAAGGACCACTCACTGTTCGCGATTGACTCGTCCTCGCTCGGACTACGCCATCGTCAAACTTTGACGACTTGCGCCCATTGTTCCTGCACGACAAGTCACGTTCGTCGTTCGGGATATTGCTCCTTTTTGCTCGCGTGTGGCAAGGAGTGCCGGGATAGCTATGGCATCCCTCCCATCCAGCTCGATACCAACGAATCTCCTGGCCAACGCTTTCGATTTGACAGCCAGACCATGACGTACGAGGACCTGAAGACCCTAGGTAAGGGCGCGGAGGATCGCGCCGGTCGGGCCTTGGCTTCACTGTTGGAACATGACTCGATCGCCGACCTTCCCGAACTTCCCGCCGACGAACACCTCACCGAGCGCTTTGTCTAGGAATGAACTACACCGGTTCGAGTCCAGCGGCGAACATGCAGACCATCTGGTATGTGCCCAAGATGGCCCTCACGTTTTCTGGATCAACTTGCATGTCGATCTGCCGATGGAACAACTCCTGTCTCAACGTCTTGGTCTCAAATCATACACACCTTACATTTGGCATAAGAACGGCAAAGTTGTCTAGGCGGAGGAGATCTTGTCTGCGTTCAGGGACTTGACTTGATCGATTCTTGGATTCCCCATCAAGCCGTCGACAATTCGCCACCTCGTGGTCTTTGTTCACCGCGGTGCCGGAGTCGAGTTGTTAATCCTGAACATGCCGAGGAGATCGCGGAGGCGTCCATGATGGGTCACAGCGCGGCTCAACATCCAAAGTACGGCGCGGGCAACGGTCATTTTGGCCCGTTGGGCCTGGAGAAGATGGCGGGTAGCAACCGAGTGTGCGCACGTCATCGTCAACTCTTCGGTATCGATCCCGGGCAGCTCTGGCGGTCTCAAGTCCGACGGCCTCCCTCCGCCCCCACCAGCTCCAGATGTGGAACCCTCCGTTTCGGACAACTCTGCTTTTCACCTCGTCATGCCTCCGCTCACCTCCGTGGCCCGCGGACAGGACTTCAACTGGTCGGCCGTTGGTCGCTCGATCGGACCTTGCCTGCGTGTGATTCGGGCGGCGGGAGTCCTCTTCGGGCGTGATCGACTTTTCAGGGGCGACCCCCATCCTGGCGAGCGCGGTCGAACTCGCGTGCAGCTCGGCGGATGACTTGGACTACCTCCCCTTGTTGATCGTTCTCCCCGCTCGCGCCGGCCAGTCCTCTTGTATCGCCACGCCGGCCCTACTGGCCTCGCGGTTGTACGCCAAGACGGTCCTCGTCATCTGTCTGACTCTTGCGTTCAAGCTCAACTTTGTTAGCCGCATGAACGAGCGGCACCCGGTGCTCCAGACCATCGCCTGAGACTTTGATTTATTTGTTTCAAACCCGTCCCCCGTGATGCCCAACATCCTCGTCCTTGGTGTTGAGCAGTTGGCGACCGAGCCTGTACATTGCTTCTTGTCGCGCAAAGCCGCGGACGATTTGATCGATCGCATCATCGCCGACGAGTCGGAGGTGCACATGATCGCCGAGGATTCCAAGTGGCGCGCTGCGCTCCTTCGACTGTCTTTTCTCGGCAAGTTCTTGGCCTTGCCAATCATCTTCTTGAGCGGGTCTTCTGCTCCGCACGTGATTGGCCATCAGGATTTTGTCCATGGGGATCTTTCGAGCTCCTTCGACGCTGCGTGTGGGGCCCCTCATCGACATTCGCTGCGTGTGGCGAATTCCTCAGGTCGCAACGGACTTACCCACCACCGTTCTGGAGGTCATCGCCATCGTCAAGACCGAAGCTCCCAAACTCGGCTCCGCCATGATCATCTTTGTCGACGCCAAGGCCGAGGGCGACCAGATCGTCGCCGAACTGCGGCGCCGGGACTTTTGTGCCAAGGTGAGATTCACACCCGGAGCTCGTGATTTCGTCTCAACAGATCCCTGATTCTTGCTTTCTCTTGATGCTTCTCAGCGCTACTAGGGCACCGATGACATCGAGCTACGGGCCAAGTTCGATGCCACTTTGAAGGAGTTCCTTGCAAAAGACATGCACATTCTCGTGGCCACCAAGGCAGCCGCTCAGGCGATCGATTGATCGGACATCTCGACGGTGATCATCGTTGGCGACCCGGGTGGACTCTCCGTTTGTGAACAGATGCGGGGGCGAGCCAGTCGCGACGGACGTCTTTCCAAGGACATCTACGTCCACGATGCATGGGTCCTCAAGAGATGCGCCCGCGACCGATCCGATGTCGACGCCGCGGCGCTTGGCGACTTCGTTGATACCACCAGCTGTCGTCTTGAGCAGCTTAGTACCTATCTCGATGACCTCACGCGTTGTGTTAGCTGTTCGATGCTCAACACCGACTTGTGCAACAACTGAGTCTCTCAGCTCGGGGCGCCTTCTGCTCTTCAAGTCGGCGGGTCGCTCGGGGCGTTGACTCATCCGGGATGGCATCGCGTGACCCCTCCGTGTCCTCAAGCTACCGTTGAATCCCCTTGTCTGGTTCTCAGGTCCAACCCTCCGCCTCTTCCGTCGTGGCCAAGTGTATGCCTCTGGAAGCGACGACACACGCCATCTCGCCCCAGAGGCGCCGAGTCTCCGGGTCACCTTCCTCGATGGATCAGGTCAGTCTTGCATTCGGCTGTTTCGTACCTTCACCCTACGTGGTGCTTACGTACCTCTGTACCTTTTTGTCATCTTCCAGTTGGGTTCTGGCCCCTTGAGCTGTCCGTCTCCCTTGGGTCCCGTCGGGGTCGAGCAAGGCGGTGACCTCTTTTCACCGGTAAGTGCATCTTGCCTATGGCGTTCTAATCTGAAACCTGGATCGTGTATGAGAACTGTCTCGGCGTCTTCTCCGCCGCAGTTGCCACCAGCACTTACGACCAAGGAGATCTTGTGAACGAATTCAATTAACCGCTCCGGGACATGGCCGAGACCGACCTTGTCCTTGCCTTCACCAGGGTGGCCAAGATGGCGGCTCACACTCGCATCTTGTGTTTGTGCCTCAAAGACCCTCCACCTCTTAATCATCCGAACCCGATCCGGGCGTTCTGCAGCGCGTGCAAGGCTGCCGACTGGGTCAAGCCGGATCCTCGCTGTCGCTCCTTCAATCTCGTCATCGGTGCTGGCGGGCTGCTCCACGACCTCCATGAACTTGGCTGGTAGAAGACATCAATCTCTTGGATGTTTCTTGCTTCAGCCTCCTCTACATCTCTCAATGCCTCTTTTCTCTTTCTCTCTCGTTGTTCCCTCTCTCAGCCCGTGATTTTGCATGATTCTGTCTCGGTTTTGCCACTCTTGGATTAGAAAATAAAGGTTTGCAATACGCCAAGTTCACCTTCACCTTCAGTATTATTTAGGAGAGTGGCCAACAGATGAAAATCAGCTGAGAGGGTTCTTGAGTCCCGGAGCAGCCTCGGGGGCCGCCTCCCTGAACAAGTCCCGCTTGTCATGGCGATCTACGTTGAGGAGTGGCCCCACCGCACCTCGAGGTTTTCCACCCAATTCAAGCCAAGAGATCACACGACTGGGCGTCCAGAACACTACAGACCCACGTGTTGAATACGTTTCTCCGCACTTTGGCGCGCCGCCGTCCGTCAAGAAAACGTCGAGATGGACGTTCCCATGCGTGACGAGTGCGGAAGGGAAGGCGATGCAGCAGCCGGCGGGTACCTCGACGATGACACCAAGCTCGTACAGCACTAGCCAGGATTGCGTTGAAGAGTCGAACTCGCCTGCAGCCGCAGAAGCGAGGCACTGCTGCGATAAGTCCTCGATTCATGGGTCGCCGAGACGAAGCGAGCTTGATCCACGCACCAAAAGGGAAGACCACGCACACACGCCCTGCGGTGTGATGCCGATCAACGTGCGGTTTCAGCGCCACTCCGGCCGCCGTACCACTGTAGTTGAGCGACATCATCCTGAACAAACCGAAAGGTGCTGGCTCGCCTCTTCGTCCGCAAAGTCCAGGGGCTCGGGCATAGGCTTGCTCGTAGCGCTCTGCAATGCGGGGAAACGCCTCCCTCACCACGCTGGAGCACCACCGCCTGTAGTTTAGGACCTTGATAAAAGTCAGACCAATCCACGCGCGAGCTCAACGTTCAAGCGCAGGCGCCGACTCACGCAAGACGCTGGACCTCGGCCGAGCCGACCACCGCGGAAGATTGCTCCACCCTTGCTTTGCTTTGGGATCGGAGTGTCAAGTGGCACCAGTCAGGCACCTGGTGCGTAGGGAGATCATTGCGTTCAGTACACTGGGACGGTCAAAAGCCAAGTGGACAATGGAATCCACTCGCATCGTCTGCCTTGTAGGCGAGATTGATTCCCATCAGCGCGGAGTAATGGGCTCCACGATGATCGCCGACCCTCAGCTGAGACCCAGCGTTGAAGGAGGCTTGTAGCTCCTGGCATGTAGCAGGTAAGTATGCTTGCCAAAGATCCAAGAGACTCGAGCCTGCCTTGCTGGACCTGACCGCAAGGACGTAGGATCGTTCTTTGAACAGCACTCGCCCAGCACCACTGCGCGAGAAGACAAAATGACATCGAGCCATCAGCAAGGGGTCTCTGCACCCAAGACTTCTTCTCGAGCTGTACTCTAATCCGCGGCAACTCACACATTGTAAGGCACCTGTTCCAAGTGCCTGAGATCGGCGAGGGCTCCGACATCTGGCTAGCGCGACAGGAATCGCGGCAATGACGCCATTACCGATTCGGACCAGGGTTGCGCCAGTGGAAGGGCGTGCCCTTGCCATCCGGAACGAGTCGCTTTGGCCATGGTTGCTTTGAAAGTCCCCCCTGCGGTGTGCACCACGGTTGTTTCCTTGGCGTGTTTGGCGGCGAGGCGGCGCCGCTTTCGCTCCCGCATCGTTTCCTTGGCCGGAACCCTGCCCACAGCAAACGAGCAAGAAGGGTCAACGTCTGGTTCGAGCGACAAGGCGGGATTGAAAAGTCGCCAAAGTGACCCAAAGAAGGTGAGGACGGACAGACTTACTTGTCTGGGGTGGTCGGCATTCGAAAACGCTCCTGCAAGCCCGGACCGCTCATGGGCATCAGGGACGAGCGACACTTGCTCAAGTCGCTTGGAGATATGCTTCTCAACGTCGAACGTGACGTCCACTATGCACTGCAGAGGCGCCGCGTCGGTGGCCCTGGCGTCGGCAGGCGTGCAGTCGGCGTCAACGTTGATCGTGTGTTGGTCGCGGGAGCGGGCCTGCGATGCAAGTCGAGTGGTGGGAGGCACGACGATATGAAGCCGACTGAGATCTGGTTCAGAAGCGCGAGATAACTGATGCTTGCTGCGGTCGCGGAAAGGTTTGGGTCGGGGAAGCGGCGAGTTGTTGATCAGAGGCAGACGCCCGATGGCTCAGCGACGCTGGGCGCCCGTGAGAGCCCGTGAGCGTCACGCGCCTGAGCCCAGCTGAGCACACTTGGCTCCACTTGGGACTTTTTGGGGTTCACCAAATGTTGGCGGAACTACGAATCTCGTTCACGCGACGTGCCCGCGCTCAGGGAGAGAGGCGCGCGGCTTTGTGGGCTGAGCCTGAGCCCAGAGCCCTGAACCGAGATCGGATCCGAAACGAGATTCCCATTCGGCGGCTCACGTCCGTAAGGAGTGCGCCGTCGCCCCGGCGTGCAAGTGCTGCGCATGCACCCGGACATAACCGCGCTAATAGCTCGTCACTCTGGGCTCACATCGAGGTTCTTCCCCGCTTGGCCTCTACAGGCGTCTACACTATGTGGTACCAAAGTCCCTATGAACGGTACAAGAATGACCTCGGATGTGATCCCAAAGTCCGCTTCAATGTGATCCCAAAGTTGCCTCTGATGTGGGACCAGAGTTGCCATTCTCGGGACCAAAGTGCCCTGCTATTCGCGCGATTAACCTAATTCCGATTTCGAAATGGCCTAAAACCCCACTAAACCCGAAAAGCCGATTTCGCGCGATTTGAGAAATGAACGCAACCCAGGATTCTGATGCGGGGCTTTGGTATTCATTTGGTTGGCTCAAGGCTACGCATTTTGTTACATGGGACAGGACAATACACCTGATACATTTCCAAAAAACAACACTCCTATGAACGAAACGTGAATGATGTAAGGGCCCTCCCAGATTACGACTTGGGCCAGAAACTCTGCGCAGTCGAGCCGAATGAAGGCACCGCTGGCGCAGTCCTATTTCCAGCCTGGAATTATACTGGAACGGACGGAAATTGACCTGGGGTATCTATTGCAATGATCGGTACTAACAACGAGCAACCATATTTAGGCCCAGCGCAAAGGTGGTCACTTCAGAGCAAGGGAAGCAGCTGCTCAATGTCCGAGATGATGGACTCGTGCGACATCGCCTTGGACGGACCCCACAACTCCCTCAGTTGAACTTCTTCCATAGCCACCTTCGAACCAAGGAACCGGCTGTCGAGGCCGCAATTCCGTCTCAAGATGTCAAAAAGTAGCTGAATATTGGTCCATCGATGTGCGCAGCCTTCGAGTAGAGATTCGTAAGGTTGGTCCATCCGAAGCACAACTTTGAGGGTATAGACTAGGTGCGCTTCTGGCCGATTCCAGTCCCGCCAGATGGTTTCACCCTTTGGCGTCATGACAAGCTCTTCATTGTTGCCCTGGTAAGGCTCGCGGAACGAAACTTCCATCACGACGTAGAAAAGCGACTCGATGTCGTGCCATCGTTCGTGGACAACACCGAGCCGCTCATTCGGTTGGGCGAGGATCGAGCAGGCGAGGTAGGGCCAGGTGCCCTGTCAGACGTCGTATAGTCCAAAGGTTAGTGCTGGTCAGAAAGTTCATTTGGGGGAACATACAGAGGGGAGGACGCACGGATCGTATTCTGTGGTGCAGCTCGGTGCAAAGTCGATCATGCGGGACGGCGAGGTGATAATCGATGAGGGCGCCGACACCGTCGCGGTCGATGACGGCGTTACCGTACGAGATATCCCGGTGGATGTACCCCAGCCTGTAGAGGTTTCGGTGTCCTGCAATGTCGTGGGAAGGGGCGTGTCGGCTAGGGAGCGCAAACGCAACGCCGCCCAGTTGATCCCTGTGCTCACCTTTGACGACTCCAAGTACGGCCTGGGCGA